GTGCCCAATGGTAGGTCGGTCAATACGACAATGGGATGGGCTTGGAAGTACGACGTGAGTTTCTTCGCTGTTATAAAAAGTGCGTACCCTGCCTTCTCCGTAGGAGTGTACCTACTTTCTGCCCCATTTAAGGCCTTGCTTACATAATAGATGGGCCTCTGGACCCCATCATCCCTCATCAAGACCGAGCTAACAGCCATTTGAGTAACCCCTAAGTAGAGGTAGAGGGTCTCCTTTGTTTCTGGCTTGGACAAGACAATATCCGAAGTCAGGTACGTCTTTAGCTCTTCGAATGCCCTGGCACATTCGTCATCCCACTGGAAGGTGTTGGCTTTCTTTAAGACTTTAAAGAAAGGTAAGGCCTTCTCAGCTGATCTGGACAAGAACCGGTTTAGGGCCGCCAGGCGCCCCGTCAATCTCTGGACATCCCTTACCGAAGTTGGGGGTTGCATCTCAACAATGGCCTTGATCTTCTCAGGATTTGGCTTAATCCCCCTCTTTGTAACCATGAAGCCCAAGAACTTCCCCGTCCTTACGGCAAAAACACACTTCTTTGGATTAAGTCTAAGATTATGCCTAGCCATAATCTCAAAACATTTCTCCAGGTCTTAAGCGTGTGTGTTGGATGTCCTGCTTTTCACCAGCATATCATCGACATAGGCCTCCATGGTCCATCCAAGTAAAGGCCTGAACAATTTGTTGACCATCCTCTGGTAGGTTGCCCATGAGTTTTTCAACCCAAAGGCCATCACCTTGTAACAGTATGTGCCGTCCGGAGTGAGGAAGGCCGTTTTCTCCTCATCATCCTCCGCCATGAAGATTTGATGATGCCCCTTGAAGGCATCCATAAAGCTGAGCAACTCACACCCGGCAGTTTCATCCACCATTTGATCCGGGCTGGGGAGAGGGTAAGAGTCCATCGGGCATGCCTTGTTGAGGTCTGTGTAGTCCACGCACATCCTCCAAGTATCACCTTTCGGGGCCAGGACAACATTGGCCAGCCATTCAGGGTAGTTTACTTCCCTGATATGACCTACCTCAAGTAGGTCCTTGACCTCTTTCTTCACAAAGTCCCTCCTATCACTTGCCAAAAATCTCTTCTTCTGTCTCACAGGCCTAGACCCCTCAAGAACAGAGAGACGATGGCAAATGACTGACCGGTCAATCTCGGGCATATCAGCAACACTCCAGGCAAATAATGATTTATATCTGGTCAAGACCTGGACAATCTCAGTCCTTAGCTCTTCCTGAAGGTCAGCCCCAATTTTGACCTTCCTTTCAGGATTGGAGGCATCAATCTGGATCTCCTCCGTGTTTGCATCCGGCTCGATCCTAGCCTTCTCATCACCCTTATCTACCTGCTGGGAGACCAATTTAATTTGTTCGAACTGGCGGGTCATCTTCTTCACTGCTTCCAGGTAGCAGGACCGGGCGTTCTTTTGATCACCCCTTTCCTCCCCGATCCCATTGGGAGTGTAGAATTTCATGCACAAGTGTGCCATAGAAATGATGGCCCTGACCTGGTTGATCCCAGGTCTAGCAAGAATGGCGTTATGTACACACTTGATATCAACCACAACAAATCTCATTTGCTTGGTTACTATTTTGTTACCCGACCCCAAGGTAACTGGTAAGGTGATCTGACCTTCCGCTTCTATGCTAGCTCCAGTGAAGCCTGACAATGGAGTTTGCAACGGTCTCAACATGGACCTGTCCAGCTTCAATTTCTTGAAAGCATCCAAGTATAGGACATTGACACTGCTTCCTGTGTCAACCAGGACCCTAGCCACATCAGCCCCGTTGATGTCCATGGTAATGACCAAAGGGTCATTATGATCTCCCCCCGTCCTAGGCAGATCCCTATCAGTGAAAGTGATAGGTTCCCTCCTTGCCTGCTTCCCGTGTGACTCCAGGGAAATCACCGCCACGTGCAAGCTTCTGGCCCAGTTCTTCCGCTGGGAGGCAGTATCCCCGCCTTCCGGGCCGCCGACAATCATCTGTATAAATTCTTTATCCGGATTGTTGTTATCCTTCCCGGATTTTCTCCTTCCCTGGTCTTTTCCCTGATGACGGGTCCAGGTGTTCGCTTTCGGGTCCTTATTACCCGTCGCGTAACCTTCCCCAAGCTCTCCTCTCAAGGCCATCTCCTTGAGCACAGCCTTGACATTTCGGCAATCCGCCGTGTTGTGGGAGTCAGATTGGTGGTAGGTACACCACTTCTCCGTCCAAGGCCTCTTGGGTTGTTCTCCCTTCTTATCATCCCTTATTTGATGGACAGACCCGTCATACGTAGCCTTCAGTTTGGACCCTCCCACCTGGTCGTCCTTCTTTAGCTTGTCAGACTTCGGCTTTGTGTAGCCTTCCTCCAGCTCCCGTTTCTTCTTGTTTAGCACTTCTGCCTCGGCATATTCCCATGCCGTATTGTAGGCTTCCTGATAAGAGGAGGGTGGCCTCCTACAGAACTCGGTGTAGAGGTCACCCGACCGGAAGGCATTCATTAGCAAAGACATGGCCGTCTTGTCGTCCATCTCTTCTACCTTGTCAACCTCGTCCCTCCAGCGGGTTAAGAATTGAGTCAAGGTCTCTTTCTCCCTCTGCCCTACCGTGTTAAGGTAGGTAAACTTCTTTCTCTTGATGCAGTTGTCCTGGTACTTCTTGCGGAAAACTTCAGCAAGTTTCTCAAAGGACCCAATCTTTCCATGGGGAAGGCCGTTAAACCATTCCACTGGTCTCCCTCTCAAGGATGAGAAGAAGAGCAAACACTCCTCAGCATCAGTGCACCCGGCCATCTGTGCTGCATTGTGGAAGGTGTCAAGGTGGATATTTGGATCCTCCTTTCCAGTGAATTTTTCCACGTCCAGCTTGACCTTACGCCTCAATTTTTGTGCATGTACCCTGGCCGAAAAGGGTGATTTGGCCAGGGTGTGCTTCTTTGTCCCTGCCTTCTCGTCCACCTTTTCTTCCAGGGCACGTAGCTTTCTTGCTACGCTTCCTATCTTGTCCAGATCATCCTCATCGTATGAGAGCCTGGTATATGCCGACGCCCTTGGCTGGCTTTCTGCTTCCTCCTCGTCTTGGTGAATCGTCTCAGATTCCCTAGAACGATGGGATTGGGCGTGACGACTCCCGCCAAGTCTTTCCATTGCGCTAGTCCGGCCCATCTCAGGACCAAGACGTAGCTTGGCAGACTTGCGGGGTCCATCATCTTTCCCCCTAGGCGTTTGAACGCCGAATCTCGAGTTTTGCTGGGTTCGGCTATAGCCTTACCCTTCCTCCTGCGGGCCACCTCTTGCTCTGCCTCATCGACCTCATGGACATTTGAGGGTGCTGCTTCATTCATGGTCCCCGTCAGATTCACCGGATGTATAGGGACCATCCTAGGGACAAATGTTGACGGGGTCAACACCGGAGGTGGCATAATTGGTGGCGTCATGCCGGGATAGGCGAATGGCACGAAGCCCCCTGCCTGTTGCATCATAGCCACCACTTGTTGATAGCCCTGTAGAGCCTGAGCATTTGCCGGGTCAGCAGCAAACTGAGCCCAAGCTGACGGGTATGGTGTGAATGCTCCACTTGGCGTTGTTGTCGAGCCTGGGAACATTGTTGTCGTCGGCGTAGGAGTAGGGGTTGACATGATTGGGATCATGCCAATCGATCCTACATTGGTGATCGGAGCAAAGGTCGTCCCCATGCTCGACATCATCAATGGGATGGCAGGAGTGCTTTCACTCGTAGCCTGACTTGACACAGCGTTGTAGTTGCTCGAAGACATGATTGTGGATATTTAGTGGGGGCAAAGTTTTGACCTGGTCGAAAAAACTTTAAAAATCGGTCCCACGGTGGGCGCCAAAAATGATGGTGTAAATATAGCGGGGTGGGTTAACCGGGTTTGACCTAGACACACTCGACCCGTAATATAAAACACACAACAAGAACACAAAGTATGACCTAGACCGGGTAAATCTCCTCAGCCATAAGAGATGGAAACAAAGATTCGTTTTTATTGAGTTTCCCTCTGACCAATTTCCTTTCACTAAGGGGCTCACCCGACTGGCCCATTATTTTGGACTTTCCCAAGTGGGCCTCGGATGGGGACTCGAACTTCTACGGACGCTCTTTGAAGAGTTCCCACTAGGACACTGGCCATTCGGTATGCGGATGCCACCTACCCATATAGCCAATGGATTGGGCCTACCCCCACTTAGACGCTGGGTACTGCGTCTTCTACTGGCCCGTGACTCCCCGGATGGTCATGCTGAGGCCAGTTCTCCACGTTCAGGTCGATCATCTTCTCTTAAGCTTTTTACTTTCATTTTCTTTATTTATGTACAAGGCTTAAGAACTAACCGGTCACTAGTTGCTTTCTTTTTTCAGACATGAACTTCAACAGGATGACCACCATCATTGAGGATGATGACGATGATGTCCAAGTCCTCAACTCCAACCGGTCTCCTCTCTCCAAGCCTCCTTCTCCTCCTTACTTCCCTGAAATGGATGGGGCCACAAGTGCCCGGTGTAGCCCTACCCATGAACAGAGCCAAAAACCGAACTCTCCTCCAGCCACCCATCTCTTTGAAAGTGACCAGGTCCCTTATCCCAAGAAAGATGTCAAGGCCAAAGGGAAGGGGACCGGTCATTCTTCTTCTCAGAAAAGGAAGAGTTCCCATGGCATAAACTCATCGCCAGGGCATAAAGGTCTTTCCATGGCAATCTGTTAAACGCTAACCATCGTGACACACCCTCATCCCTGATTTCTCGCTCACGATCGGATTCACTTTCCCCATTTCTTCCATATCAATTCTGCAGATATGAATTCCCTTATTTATCAACCTCTTAATTTCACAAACCTCCCAATCGTCCGATATTGGGATTCCTCTTCCTCGGTCGATTTTTTATCATGGTTCCAGGTATGTTTTTTTATTTCGTTTTGTTTTGAATTATGTAAATATCTTCTCGAATTTTGCTCGCCTCTTGCAGTTCGTTGGATTCATGAATGCTTCTACATTTGTTGTGAAATTACATGTAAAAATTTGTGTTGTTTACAATTTTGTTTTTTGGGGTTCTCATTTTAATTTCTTCCTCGTCATTTCTCACAGCTGCATTAAATTGGATCCACTAGTTTGGTTTCAAGAATGCTTCTGCTTTTGTTTGCTATTAACTTGTCAGTATTTTTGTGTATTAAACAACCCCCTTTATGACACACTGGGCAGTGTACCCATTCATATATTTTTCCTCTATTTCACATTTTGCGTGTCCTGTATTGGATAGTCGTGTTGTTCGTCTGTTTCTGGTTTTCTTTTCATTATGTTGTCGGTCAATTTCAACCACTTCATGGAATGATGCTTCATGATGTGTGCGCACCTTCTGTGGTTATATATTCATATATTTCCCTTTATTTCGCATTTGTGTGTATTCTGCATTGCATAATCATATTTAAGCAGTGCATTAATCAACCCTTATATGTCTCTATCGGCAGTGTACACATCTACAACTCTAAATGAGGACTCACCCCAAACAACAGAAATTATTTCTTCTTCATCCAACTTATTTATTCCTCCTTGCCCTGAAGAGTCGAAGCCTAAAGTTGGAATGATGTTCAAATCCTTAGAGGACAGATTCATTTTTTACAAACAATATGCTTCACTAGCAGGTTTTGATATTGGCAAAAGCACTAATTTGAAGGTTTCCGGGGTTGTTGTGTGGCGGTACATTGTATGCAACTGTGAGGGTCATAAACATTTTGCATCAATTGTTAACAAACCCACTCACGATGACGGAGACTTGCCAAAGGCATAACAGAGAAGACGCATTTCAAATCGTGTTGATTGCAAAGCGTGTGTGGCGTTTAGGCTCGTGGCTGGTGTAGGATACTCCATATCATCATTCATAGAAACTCATAACCATCTAATGTTGTCCCTTCACAAACAAGGTGTGTGATCTTGATTGGGGACTTGAGTACAGATCTAAATCAAGAATAAATGAAGGTTTTATTTTGTGGTGTAAACTTTGAAAAGATTTATTGAGATAAATCATGACAATAAATAAAATGAATTAAATGAAAGAATCCTTTTAAAAGTCAATAAAACCAATTTTGACTCTGTTACAGTCAAACGCCCAAAAATATGATGTCGGAAAAAGTATTACAAGTAAATATAAAAATTATACCGTTGAATAGAGTTTGACTGTCTGATCGCAAAGGTGCAAACGAAATTCAATTCGGAGAAAGTTGGACCGAAAAATGTGCCCGAGTAAGACCAAAGTAGTCCCAATCAAGGAACGACGTGTATAATCGAACCAAATCGCAGCCTAGCACACTGAGCCGTCCGCTGATGGGTAATAACCCAAGGATACCACCCGGTTGGTTCACCGAACAGCACACGTCTTTTTCAGCCCGGGTTATTTGACCGGTTGAATAATCAGAGACGTGCTTGACGTGCTTAGGATTATTATAAATACCCTTAAAAGCCTCATTTGTGAGGCATGTTTTAAATTAACCTACACGGCTTGTATTTGTAATAACTCCAATTATCATTAATAACAAATCGGGTTACAGGTGATTCCACCTACAACCCTTCCGATTATTCACACTTAATATTTGCGTGGTAATTTACACCATCAAATTGGCGCCGACCGTGGGACACATTACAAAAAAGTCATGGCCAGTAATCAGGAAACCGTGATCTCACAAATTTCTACTCCCGCTGAGAATGTCATTTCATTCCCGGGAGGAAGTTCCCAACCGTCAAGCCAGGTTCCTACCCCCATCATCACCATTCCACCACCTATCCCATTCACTTCCCCCGTGAACCCTGTTCCCGTTTTTCCTTCAAATTTCCCCGGACCCCTTGATCCAATGTACAGCCAGGCTCTT